TTTTTTTTTTTTTTTTTTTTTTGTAACAACATAAACTCGCCACTTTATGATTGTTTAGCTTGAATTCACCATATTATGCACGTATTTAATACTGAAGAAAAAAACACTGGCTTATTTATGACGGGTGCATTTAGTGATAGAGCTACATAGTATTCACGCGGATAAGCTTTACTGGGTCATCAAATATGGTGGATACTTCAATTTTTTTTTAATTTTTTTATTCTACTCAATCGAAAAGGGATGCAAATATTGCTGTAGTTGTTATGACATATACACTTAAGAGAGAAAGTGGTATCCAAAGAGTTCTCGGAGCAAAATTCAGCACGTACATAATAGTGGTTAACAAGCATGAATGAAAACGGTATCAATTAGTGTTTCTAATGGAAAAATATTTTCTTCCATTTGTTAATTAGTGATGATATGAAGTACACAAATTAATTGAAATGACATCTTTCAGAAAATTTATAATAGTATTTTAACGTATATTATACACGATAAACATTTAAGTTCGTATAATTAAAATTTATAATAAATATTTTTAATATATATAAATTATATTATAATTAAAATTCACAGTATATTTTTTAAATGTATTAATTTCCTTTCAAAATGACAATAAATAATTTAAACCAAGTAATATTTTCAATTCTAAATTTTTTTATAAATTTATTAAAACAATTTCAAAATAGAAGATAATGGATTAAAAATAAGAATTCAGATGATCAAATACATTTTGACACAAGATAAATATATAAAATGTCTAATTCAGCAAGTAGAGCAAAAATCTCAACATCCAAATTACAAATTCTAATTTATCCAAATCATATATTATATATTATATATTCTGATCTATTATATTGTATATTCTAACTTTAGAGATAAAAAGATGTAACTTGGTTAGCATATTTCAAAATTTAAAATACATGCCTAAAACTCTAATATTGTGAACCACTATAGTCCGCTTATTAATAAAATTAGAGTAACATGTACAAAATAATAAGCTCAAGCCTTAACATGCAGCGGTTATTTTAAAAAACCATAATATTGTGATATTGTCAAGTATAAAGCGAAAACATTCCTACTAAAATATATTTTAGCAAAAAAATTCGAAAGATCAGTAATATATAAAAATATTTAAAAAGAATTTATTCCACCTTGACTGCTTTTCTATCTCCATTTTACTCTTAAATCACATTACTCATGTGTCAATTGTCCTTTATTTCTTTTTCTCTTTTTTTGAAACCTTTTCTCTCTTTGGAGCCCTGTTTTCACCATCAGTTATTTCTGCCCTCACTCACCCATTTCCAACGTAATTTTCTTCTACAATCGTATTTTGTCTCTTTATTTTTATTAAAATATATTCATTAAGGATTGAAATACCTCTACTCCACAGGTAGCAAGAAGCGCTTGAAAAATAAGAGAAAGAGTTTTGGCTGCTATCGTGTTGCATACGTGTTTTTATTGGGTTTTATTTTCTTCAATCGTTTCGATGTGGACTATACTGCGCAGACCGATGTGTGATACATAGAATGGGCCCCGCATAAACCTTAATTCGCCTATAAATTCTCACAAATCAACTATTATACAAGCAAATGTATGCACATAATACCTACCAGCTAACTTAAAACACCATTTTGATGATAAACGAAATGAACAGAAACACATGATAGAATTTGGAAATCGTATTTGTATTTGGAGGACCACAAGTTAATATAGCTTGCACTCATGTTTCTAAGTCAAGAAACAGAATTTGACCCCTAGCTTGGACATGGAGTGCTTTTTGGATTATCATTTAAAATGATGTGAACGGAAATTTTCTCATTCCAAAGCAGAAAAATGAGAAGTAACAATTTGTAACTTTCCCTTTCAACGGGCGGTTAAGAATTTTTTACAATAAACAAACACACTGGGAATCATTGCCGCAGGTACCACTTTCCCCAATAGGATAGAGCCAGTAAAAAAGAGTTATACCTCTTTAATAGATAAAAAAAGAAAAAAGTATTTAGAAGGACTAACTTTCAAAAGCTTTCATTAAAATTAAAAAAAAATTATCTTAGAAAACTAATTTTAATTTGGCTCCATTTGTATTTATGGAGAACTGACTTATCCCAAGACTAAAATAACAGACCCGTTTTTCCTTGGAAAACTGCCGAATGCATAAAAATATAGTACAAAACCAGCAAGAAATGCGTTCCTTCAAAACTTCTCAACTTATATATTACTTAAAATTTAAACCAAAACCGCAGTCAGCCATCTGTCCAAATGACAACTTCCAACAGCTAAAAGAAAAAGAACACAACATTGATAAATTGATTTAACTAGTTCAAGTACCTTTCTCAGTCTAACCACAGGTTCTTAGCAAACTTAGACACATTACCTATTCAGCCTTCCTTCAAGTAAACATCAATGGAAAATTGCTAGCTCAACAGCGACTGCCAGGTAGCAAAACCCATGAAAGTGGATACATTCTCTAAGCAACCAAAGTGCTAGCAGTTGTTGATTCGCTGAAAATGACCATTAATTAATATCCGGAAAGTGATGGTGCAAATAAGGAAAAAGGAACAAGATTGGCTTTCAAATTACAAATGCACCAAGCTCTTAGAAAGCATCATGCAAGTGTGCACTCAAAATAAAAAATATATAACTAGCAGTAAACATCAATAGAATTTCAATAAGAGAAGCATCATCCGTAATATCCAAATAATACCAAATAAGCATAACCGACACCTACTGAACAACATACCTAATAAAGCATGTCAGTATGTCTCTCTGCCCAACACCAGGTAGCAAATAGATCACAAAAACAATTGACAACAGAATTGAACTTTATGTTATATAGAATCTGAAGCACTAAATTTGAAATATTCTAATGCTCCAATGCCAAATAGGCAGGGAAAAAGAGAACCAAACCACTTCCTTTCACTTGCACTTCATTTCACAATGCTCAAAAGCTTCATGCACAGCAATATAACAAAAACTACAAACTACAAAGCCTAAGCATTGTTTTATTCTACACGAAATGACTTGATAAAAGAATAGAAAAATGACCATATGGTAGCAAACTAGCAATGTAACAAATAAGTGGAAGATGGGAAGGTACTTACTACTTCCAGACTGGTGGGAGCTTCTTAGTCTTCTTGTAGTATCGAGCAAGACGGTGGATTCTGCTCTCCACAAGAATCAACCTGAACTTCGAGTCCTTGTCCTTCCTGTTCCTCTCCAAATGCTTCCTTATTGAAACTGCCTTCTTAATCAAATGGTACAGATCCTCTGGAATCTCAGGCGCAAGTCCTGAAACCAACCACCAAAACAATTTTTTTCAATATTAAGATATAAAAAATATACACACCCACAACCACTTTCTCTTCCATCTTTTTTTCCCTTTATTTTCTCCTTTTTCTCACTCCCATCACTTATCACATATTTCATTTTCTCTTCTTTATTCCCCCTTTCAACCTCTCTTCCTTACAACTATCCATTACATTTTCATTAACATAATACTACCTAAAACAAACAGAGATTGTAGGAGCAATCGAGATACAAAACACAAACCATGAGCTTTGAGGATTCGCAGGATTTTGCTGCCAGTGACGCTCTTGACCTGGGCAATACCGTGAGAATCTCGAAGAATGACACCAATCTGAGATGGGGTCAAACCCTTCTTCACAAACTTGCAGATGTTTTCTTCCACCTAGAAAACAAAAAACATAACATCATCAACAATGCGATAAAAACATCATACAAGGGAACCAAAAAATCTCTTAATAATAGACAGCGAGTGTTACATCTTGTGAAGAGATCTTGAGCCAGCTTGGAGGTGTCCTCTTGTAGGGCAAAGCAGATGAGGATATACCCTTACTGGAACCAAAGGAAAAAAGCAAATTTTGAATTTAGTTTGTGGGAGAGAAGAGAACAAATTGATGTTAAAGATTGAAAGAATGAGTACGAACCCGCGACTGTGCATACGACCCATGGTTGCTGGTTGTGGTTGATGCTGCGCTTCTTCTGATTAGGGTTGTGATGCTCTTCCGCCCAATCCACCACTCTGAAACCCTAAACTGTGACAACTTGTCTACCTTTTATAAAAGAAACAACCCATTTATACTGATACTACGTCGTTTCATGTAAACAAACAAAAATTTAAAAGATAATTCTTAACGGTGTCTTTAATTAAATAATTAAAAATTTTATATACTTAATAACATTTTATATTTATTGAAAATTTAATTAATATATTAAAAACAAAATAAAGTAATTTTTAATATCATGTTATTTTAAATAATAATAGAAATAATATTTTTCTCTATATATAAATTAGAATCACCAGTATTTCATCTTGTATATTACATAGATTAAATATATAGCTAAAATTTATAACAAATTATATATATAATTATATTTAAATATATAAATTATAATTAAAATTTATATAAATAGATATTTTTAAATATATAAATTGTGTTTTAGGTTTATAATAATTAATTTATATTATAAAATGATATTTTTATTTATTAATAATTTATTTTGAAAACATTAAAATTTAATACATAAATAATTATTTAAATAAAAATTAAATTAAATAGGAATTTAAAAATTTTCTAAAAATATTTTATCAAAGAAAATATCTTAAAGAAGTTGTGGAGATAACTATTCTCATATTTAATATATTAGAATGATTATCAAAAATATTTTAAAGAATTATTATTTAACAATAGTGTTTTTAATTAATTTTTTCCACGATGAATACATTTTTAAAAAAATATAATAATTTTTTGTCTCTTTTTAATTTTCTTATTTTATATTAAATTTCATTTTTTTTAAATATCAATAATTACAAATATTTTTATCTTACAATATAAATTAACTTCTATATATTCAACACAAATCTTTATCTTACATGAAAGTTTTTAAGGGAAAGGATTTTAGAGATTTTTATAATTTCTTATCTAATTTGATTTATTTATTATAATTATTTATGAATTAAATTTTATATTTTTAAAAAACAAATACATCAACCCTTTTTATATTAAACATAAAGCTTTATCTTAAAATTTTTAAATTTTGTTTTTCGACAAGAGAGTTTTTAGGGATTTTTTAAATTTTTTATCAAATTTAATTTTTATTTATCATAATAATTTATGAGTTCAATTTTAATATTTATAAATAAATTATCAATAAATAAAATAATATTATACTACAATATAAAATTTATCATAAATCTAAAATATAATTTATATATTTGAAAAAATATATATTTATACAAATTTTAAATATAATCTATATATTCAAATATAATATTTATTTATATATATTATTTATTATAAATTTTATGTACATGTAATAAATATTTAGTTTGTACATTGCACGAACAATTTTCACCTCATACACTATTATGTCAAAATATATTATAACTTATTTATTATTGAGAACATCTTATTTTTATTATATATTATTTGTGGATCATGATCAACATTTGCAAGTAATTTTTAGATGCCTCAAAATATGATGTTTATATTGTACTTTAATTTTGATAGTGACTTTTAATCATAACCTTTCTTTAATCTATAAAAATTATAATGAGAATAACACTAATAGTTCATTTTTCATGACAACTTAATCTCATGGAGAATGATCATAAATATCTTTTTTATCAATAATTATAATAATAACAACAAAAATCAAATATGAGGTTTAATACATATTACTTCTACTTCACTACTACATAGGTTGTAGTGGTTGATATCTTTAAACATCTGATTTAGTTTATTTATAATATAGATATAACATAGATTTGCTAACTTATATCTGCCTATTTTTTAGAACCATTGAATTAGCAAACTATAACTATAATTTATATATATATAAAAATACATCTAAGTGCAACTCGCTAATTTATTCCAACTAAAAAATAAATAAGTATAAGCTAGCATTTACTTATAAAATTTGTTAATGTACTTCCACTTCATTTTTAAAATTAGTATATTAGTAAATTATAATTAAAATATTCTTTAAAATATATCCACACGTAATTTGTTGACTTACTCATTCTAAAAAATTTGGTAAGTATAAGTCAACAAATTTTTAGATACCAAAGTTCACTTTGTCCCGTATGCACCCATTTATGATAACAAACGATCTCAAAAAAGCTTGAAAAATACTATAATAATTTTTTAAAAATAAAATTGGTCTCTAAGCTCTTTACCATTTCATACATCAAATTAAATAAATAAACCACCAACATTGGACCTTAGTACGAGTTGAGCAATCTGGTCCCTAGACATAAACCCCTCTAAATGCACCAGCTACTTTGTGGTTGTGAGTGTGACTTGCGAGGCTTCAATTGTTTTCATCTAACATCAATAAATAGAATGCCCAAAGCTTGAACCTGTTCTGCAGAATCAGTACCAACTATCTAATAAGAGGTGATGCAAGATTCATTGTGCTTGAGGTTATGATTCAGGGACTGCTTTGGGTGCTTGAGTTGCGGCTTGAGGTTGTGCTCAAGGTGCTTTATTTTTTATTTTTTATTCTTGAGTTGCTGCATTTGGAGTTTCTCCTACCAATGGCTGACCAATATGAGGTGCTGCTGGTGCTCTCCCTTTATCTTATTTTTCTCTCCCAATTTATGAAGATGGATATTTAGGTCGTGCTGCTGTTGCCTGTTGGTGCTTGTCAACAGGACGTGGCGGTGCTAATGATGTTTTTAGCAATTTTGTTGGTGATCTATTCTAATATATCGAGTTCAGAAATTAGAGAATCTTGAAGATGTTCAAAAATTTTAAAATATGCTCTCATTTTTTATTTTTTAGATAAGTAGGAATTAAGAAAAGAATGAAATTAGTGTAATATATATTTATGTTACTATATGCAAGTTTTTTTAATTTGTCTTAATCTTTTCTGCAGCGTCTAGACTGTGTATGCATATCTTTAATTATTTGTCCATCCATCTTTTCCCAACAAATTTGCACAAAAATTGGATGCGCTAGCATGTAAACTTACAAATAGAAAAAAGATTATGAACCCTTAACTTGCATTAAAGTTGCATAAACTATTTGTTATATATTTTAAGATATTTTAAAAAGGTTAATTTATTTACAAAATTGTTTTAAATTTAAATTCAAAATAATTATTGTATTTATTACAGGTATTAAAATCTAATTAAAATCAGAATTAATAAGATATAATAACTTTATAATTTTAATTAATTTTAAATAATCAAATATTTTAAAATTATTTTTAATTCTTGTAATTAATTATAGTTATAACGATAATGTAATAATAAAAATATCATATAAATCTTACATTACACATCATAAATTTAAATAAATTTAGATACTCAACATTCATGGAGAACACTAATTAACAAGATAACGTTGAATAAAGAAACTGTCTTATCAACTTTGGGTAGATGAATTAGTGCTTAAAAATGGGGTGAATGAAATAAGCTTCAACACGCCTCAATATCAATGATCAGAGAAGTGCTAGTAAGACATTATGTATCTAAACTTTTTTTTTTATTATTGGTTAAAATTTATTAAAAATTACAAATGATTGAAAATCACAATTGTGAATACTTCTTATTTATCAAGCTATGCTTATAATTTTAAAGTTATAAATAAATTTTAATCGATATGTAAGGAGAAGAGAGAGGGGGGGGGGAGAAGAGAGAGGGGGGGCAAATTATTGGACAACTAAACTAGTTGGCAAAAAATTATAATAATACTTGAGGTTAAATTGCTGATAATCTCATTGTATGTGTCTTAATCTTATCCTTACAATATTTGGTTGCTCAGAAATAGAGGGAACGAGAAATTTTTTAAAAAACCTTTTGGTTCAATTTTTAAGAGGAGAGGGGAGCAAAATCCCTCTTAACATAATTTTAATTCCACTATAATATTGAAAGATTTGAAGAAGAGAAAAAAGATTTTAAAATATTTTTTGTATAATATAATAAATATCCTTGTCTTATTAAATTTAAAATTATAAAGATACAAAAATAAATTAATTTTTAAATTTTCTACTTTCACCTTATAATTTTGTAAACCTTAAACAAGAAAAAAAAAATTACCTCCTCTTTCCTCCACTCATCCAAACAAAATTTATAACTTCTCTCTTCCCTTCTCCTCCATTAAAATTCCTGCCTCCCCTCCTTTAAAATGCCTATAGTTTATAATTTATATTTACATCTCGTTTCAGAAACCTTTTAAATTGAATCCCTGGATTACCTGTTATAAGAACAACCCTCTCCCTCTTAAACCATAAGAGTCTATTTGTAAATAACAGTAGAGGATCTATTTAGATATTTTTTTTAAAAACATAACGACTTGCAAAGTGATTTAAACGACTGATTGTGCAAACCCAAAGAAAGTTCAGTTTGGTAGTTACATATTTGGAGTAGCAGGCAGTTAAAATTGACTTACACAAAATTTTAGTAAAACAACACATGTATATTATATAAAGTTAAAAATTGCAAATGTAAATTATCTACTTTACTAGAGAATGAATTTTAATATTAAGATTTGCACTCCCAAATATCAAGCACTCGCAATTGATACGTTCCCATATACAGTGTTGATGTGCAATAGGACAAGGATTATTTATAGAGTATAGATATATCCTCCTAAACAAATAAGCTAGAACAATCCTTGGATCAAAGATAAAAACTTTAAAAAATTAAAATTAATTTATAATCAAATGCATGCCAGATGTAAATTTTAATTGGATCGACAAACATTTTCGGAAGGAATAGGTTTTCTCTTATTTATACTTCAGCCACTAGGCAAGTCTTAAGTATTTAGAAAAGGAAGAAAAGTAACATAAATAGACTAGTAATGATGACATTTTTTTCACAAAATATAGATATACAAGCACACACTCACGCAGAGTAAAAATTAGGGGTGTTCAGATTTTTTTAAAAAATCGATCCAAACCGATCCGAACCATTTTATAAAAGTGGATCGGTTAACCGATCCATTTTTTATAAAATGGATCGGTTTGATTTTTTTAAAATATGGATTGGTTTTTTTGAAATTGGATCGGTTCAGTACGGTACAATTATCCACTTTTTACTCATATATGAATCGGTGTTTTTAAAAAATCAAACCAAACCACTTTGTAAAAGTGGATCGGATAATTGAACCGGTTTTATAAAGTGGTTCGGTTCAGATTTTTTTTCAAAATAGATCGAATTTTTCAATATGGATCGGATTGGTTATGGATCAGTTCAGATCAATTTGGATTTTTTCACACCCCTAGTAAAAATGACAATTGAATCAACAAGACATTTCATCTTCATTCCGGTAATCTTAAGCTATGTTTCGATTGGTGAAAGAGAATAAAATATTTATGTTCAATTGTTTGGATTGGTAAAATGATAATACAATAATATAATGAAAACTAATAGAATATATCCCATCTTATTTGTCTCTGTTTGCCTTCATTTTTCTTTTCTTCCAATTTGGGAGGAATGAGATGTAATAAGAATTGTGTTCCACTCTATCATAACATATCTAAGCAATAGAACGGAGATTTTATTCCATCATACTCAATTCCACTCCGCTCTATTCCATTTTATTTCATTCTATTTCATCTCATCTCTTTCCACAAATAAAAAATAGCCTTAGAGTCATCGATCCTGACAATCATCAATAAATATTAGGTGCCTGATATGGCTATTAAGTGGTGTTCAAATACGTTGAACAGTCAAAGAATTAGGTATTATGAAATATGAGTCATGTTTCAATATTGAGTTTTGACATTAATTTTCATTCGAACAATGCTACCTAGTACCTAAACATACACATCATCTTATATTTACATATATCTTTAACCATTTAACTACACCCGGTCTGACCTTGTTCTGTTTTCTACATATCCACACAATGATTCAGCCATCTTAGACAGATGTGAAGTGATGTGTTTGGTGCTGATAAGCACCAAACCATTGTCTATTTCATTCTGGCATTGGAAATTTAAAACATAAAACTGTCGTATTGATGTTTATCCATACATGGACAACACTATTATCCCAAAGTTAATGTTGCACAGGTATTTATCACTACAAAATACTTATAAGTAACCAAAACTCATAACATTTGTACATAAAATCAACCTAAGGATGACAGATCTCCCATTTGAAATGGAGGATCAGCTTCATAGCAGGGGTTCACTTCTACATCACCTAGACACCTATCAATCTATCCTTTTATTTCCTGATAAAAACTAATATTTAGATCATACAACTTATTGATATTAGAACAAATTCACTCTCCCAATGCTATTTTCAGAATGTCAAAGGCTACATTCCAATCTAATCCAAGACTGTTACAGCCTTAAAGGACAGAATAACTTTTAGATCTTCCAAGCCTGAACTAAAGACTTGTTTAGAATTAGTTCCCTACAGAACAAGAATCAAGAGTTGAACAAGTAATCTAAATTTCACATAAGGAAAAACATCACACTCCCCAGTCCCCACACATACACTATAGCATGATATATGCTTCCTAAAAGTGCAATACGCCAACCTGCTTTCTCGATATACGTATATATACAGACACAAACACCGACACGAACAATAACTCAAATGTTGAACTATCAGACACATTTCCTAAATAAGGCAAAGAAACAATTCCAGCTCGTGTAGACAAACTCATAAAAACTAAAAATAATTAAACAACAAAAAATATATATATTAAAAATTTAGCATAAGTGGGTTAATCGATTGGTTCACTAAAGTAAAGAAACAACAAAGGAGAAATTAACGATAGCGCATTCCATTCCAATTCAATTGAATTGAAAAAGAAAGAAAGAAAGGAAAATGAATTGGAAATGGGATCTCACTTGGCGACCATTTTGGCGATGAAATCTTCGTAACGGATCTTACCATCGGAGACGACATTGGCCTCCTTGATCCACTCGTCGAACTCGGAGGGCTCGAGCTTCTCGCCGATGTTGGTGAGGATGTGGCGGAGCTCGGTGACGGAGACGAGGCCGGTGGATTCCTTGTCGATGACCTTGAAGGCGTCGCGGAGCTGGCGATCGAAGGGTTCGACCTTCATGTGCTTCCCCATGAGATCGAGGAAGCGCGGGAAATCGAAGGGTTCGGTGAGGCTCTCTTCGGCCACGATGGACTTTAGTTGGGCCTGGGTCGGATTCCCGCCCAGAGAGCGCATCAGGATCCCAATCTCCGATGGCGCGATCCGACCGTCGCGGTCCGTGTCGAACAGCGTGAACGCTTCCTTCATCGCCGAAACTTGCTCCTCGCTTAAATCCTTCCCCATTGTTTTTTGCCTTTTCACCTTCTCTGCTCGAATCAATCAAACTTCTCTTCTCTTCTACTTTTTCCAAACGTGTTACCCTCTCTCTCTTTTTAAAAAATAAAAATATATATATTAACTCGTTGCTGCCACGATGAGAATTGCATTTGCATGCATACGATACGGTGTCGTTTCATGGTAGTCTTTTAATTCTTTACCCAAGTGACGAATGTGATGTGAGTAATGGATTAAAAAATCAAAACTCATGTATATCATTAAACTCAAAGGAAAAGAAAATGTTAAAACCAAGTTATATTCTAATTATCTTACTTATAATAAACTAGTAGCGGAAAATACACTTCTTACTTATGTTAAATGAAAAAAAAAGACATTTTTTTATTAGTTCTTTACTAGTATACATTAAATTATAATATAATTAAACTTTACTAAACATATAATAATATATATTTGAAAATTTATATGCATAAATTTTACTCGACTTCAAAATTTTATTTGACCCTCTCCTTATGTAATTCTCTCTCCACCCCTATGTATAACATCTTATTTTTTAAAATAAATACAAGAAAGAATACCAATTTTGTTCAACGTGAACAAGTTTCTGGACTAGTGGCTATGGAAAATCAAATTGATCTCTCTAATGTTATAAGGTTGCTTCGTGAAGAAATGGTAGCTATTTGTCAAACTCGTGAAAGGGTGCTTAGGAGCTTGAGGCACTTAGGAAAAAAAATGCTAAATTAAGGAACTTAAATAGAACTTGGATCTCTACTAGTCAAACTAATAACGAAGTATCTTCATACCATATACCAACAACCCCTTAAGCACAGGTTTTGTTAGTGCAGTTCTCAATTGTTTCAAAGCAAGCTCTCCCTCGGTCTGGAATAATGATTAGAAATTATAAGCACCTTTTTACTCAAAGAATCATGGATACAATATTATTCGATAATTAGAGGAGTCTTCCTCTAAAGAAGTACGATGGATCATCTGATCTTGATGAACATTTGAATGCATACCTTACGTAAGTTACTCTATTGACACAATATGTTGCTTTATGCCATAGTTTTCCTACATCATTGAAGGGTCAAACACTAAGTTGGTTCATTAAGCTTCCTCCAAGATCTATAAATTAATTTGATGAGTTGTCATCTTTGTTCATTATAGAGTTTGCTACTAGTTGGTCATGCCAACTGACATCATTGGCATTGGCTAATATCAGGTAGGAGAAAAAAGAGATCGTTTTAATAAAATTGCTATGAAAATTAGAAATTTGAACCTCACGGTTGCTATGAATAGGTTGAACACTGCACTAAAACTTGGGTTATTTGTAAATAGTTTGTGCAAAAAAGAACCCTATGGATATGAATGATTTGAGAATGAGGGCTAAAAAACATATGCAAATGAAAGAGTTGGCAGAGCTAAGAAATCAAACAAAAGTGGAGCTGATCCCTAGTAAAAAAGAAAATGAAAGAGAAACATATCAAAAAAATAGGGGAGGGGATAATTCGAAGGGTTATCGGACAATGGGGCCTCAATATGCAAATTACACCCCACTAAACATGAATAGAGCAAGAATCTTAAAACAAGCACTTGCCTTAAAAATCTTAACTATTCCTAAAAATGCTCATACACCTCCTATAACAGATCTATCAAAGTCATGTTCATATCATCAAAATCATAGACATTCAACTAAAGAGTGTGTAACTTTGAAGGATTAGGTGGAAGACCTCATAAAGTAGGGGCAAGTAAAAAATCATGTTGAAAAGTACGAGTCCAATAAAGGACAAGATCGAAGGGGAGAAAGTTATGTATCTCAAGGAAGAGAGTCAAAGAAAAATGAAGAAAAAAAACTAGAGCGAGAACAAAGTCAATCTAGAGAAAGGAAAGGAAGAAGGGGTGATAATGAAAGTAGTGGAAGATAGAAGAAGAGCTAGGATGCCTACAATAACTTTCACTAATGAAGATTTTCAAGAAATAAATCCCATGCAAGACGACCCTATGATAATCAATGTGGAGATCAATAATTGTATCATAAAGAAAACTTTGGTAGATTAATGGAGTTTGACCAATATACTATATTGAAAGACGTTCAAGCAAATGGTAATACCAAAATAAGAATTGAAGTATTATAATGAACCCTTCACGGGCTTCTCGGGTGAGCATGTAACAACAAGGGGATGTATTGATCTTTACACGTGCTTTGATTTTGATCAACAAGTTAGCAAAACTATAAAGTTCAGGTACATTGTAAATGCTAATATTTCTTATAACATTATACTTAGAAAACCATACATAAATGCTTTTGATGTTATTATCTCTACCCCTTATCCTGCCATGAAATTTTCTATTGAATCTTGAAAGATAATTACGGTGTATGCTGATCAAAAGGCAGTCAAATAGTGTTATATGAAAAGCCTAAAAGTAGCACCTATTGTAGAAGAGGAGGATAATAATGTACACATGGTATCAATCATAGTCGAGGATACATCAACCTTAATAAACTTAGACCCCAAGATAAGTAACAACAATTTTAGAATGAAGCCAAATGAGGAATCATTACCATTTCAATTGGGAGACAAGTCTGGACAAAACACTTATATTGGATCTGAACTTAACTAGTGTAAGTGAGAAATAATTCAAAGAACTTTGAAAAGAAATGCTAAGTTTTTTGCATGGACAACTACTAACATGTTAATAATTAATCCCAACTTTCATTGACATTAGTTAGTGTTATACAGGGAAGCAAAGCTGATAGCACAACATAAAAGAAAAATAGGGGAGGATAGAAGAAAAGTAATGAAGATAGAAGTTCAAAAGTTATTGAGTGCTTAGTTCATAAGAGAAGTTCAATATACTACTTGGTTAGCCAATGTAGTTATGGTTAAAAAGACAAATAGAAAAGCCAATGTAGTTATGGTTAAAAAGACAAATAGAAAATGGAGAATGTACACATATTATATTTTATAAACAAAGCATGTCCTAAAGATGCATATCCGCTTCTAAATATAGATCGAATTATAGATGGTGCAACTAGACATCAAAATTTCAGTTTATTGGATGCATGTTCAGGAATTAATTAGATAAGGATGTACTCGAGAGATGAAACAAAAATGGCCTTTATAATCGAGTCAACAAATTATTGTTATAAGGTGATACCCTTTGAGTTGAAAAATGCAGAAGCTTCATATCACAAGATGATGGATAAAATCTTTAATAAATAAATCAAAAGGAATGTGGAAGTATATGTTGATTATATGATGGTAAAACCCAACAATGTAAAAGAACACATAAAAGACTGGAAAAAAGTATTCGGGGAAATATGGATAAGTGTCAGATAGTAATAGACAATAAATTCAAAATACTTGAAAGAGGTGCAACAATTGAATGGAAGACTAATGTCATTATCCTAGTTGATACCTAGGTTGGCTAAAAGAACAAAATCAATAATCAAATTATTGAGAAAAATAAGCGAATTTTAATGTACCAAAGAGTGTGAAAAGGCTTTTTGGGTTCTAAAGTAAACAATAGCTTCTCTTCTAGTTTTAATGAAGCCAAATATAGCAAAAGATCTCATTATTTACTTATCAGTATTTAAAGAAGCAGTTAGTGTAGTACTAGTCTAAGAGGAAAAGGGAAAACAACAACTAGTTTATTTTGTCAATCAAATACTACATGATGTCGAGACTGGTTACCAATTGATAAAGAAAATGACTTTAAGTTCAATATATGTTGCAAGAAGACTTTGATAATACTTTCAAAGTCATTTTGTGGTTGTAAAAACATATTATTTTATATCCAAGATTCTAAGAAAACCTGAATTAGTAGGAAAAATGATGACATGGGTAATATAGTTATCAGAATTTGCTATTCGGTTTAAATAGAGATGGCTCATCAAAGCTTAATGCTTAGTTGATTTCATCAACAAATTACACCTAGAAGAGAGTTGAATCAACATGGTGGACACTACATATTGATGGGTCTTCGATAAGGATGGCAAAAATACCTTTGACTATGGGTATCCGCAAATAAAATATATTACAGATAATAAATTGATAGTCTAAATGGATACTCACACATAACGTGTACAAGTTTTTTTACCCATTTATAAATGGGGCGAGGGCAGGTATGGTAGTATCCATACCCACGAGTACTCACTAAATAATATTACTTAAATATTCATATTTTTATCTTACATCTTTTATATTATTTTTTTAATATTTAAAAAATAAATTATCATTAATTACAAGTTCAAAAATTAATATCAATTTTTTTTATCTTTAATATTTCATTATACTTAACATCAAATATAAGCTTAAAGTTATTTATAATACTTTTTAAAAAATTTAAAATAATTCACAAATATCTATGAATACTCATAGGTATTTATAAAATTTGCAGGTACCCACTAAATGGATACCCATGCGAGTATGGGGCGAGTACAAAGGGAATTTTTATTTAACAAGGCATGTAAGAGTATCCTACTACTCACCCTCACGGGGCACCATTACCATCTCTATTCTTTGAATAAATGAGGAAGTGGTGTTGGTATTATACTAGAAGGGCCAAACAGAATGTCAATTAAACAACCTCTTTGGTTTAATTTCAAAACATCAAGCAACACAAGCAGAATATGAAGCCTTGTTGGCAAGTCTTCAGTCAGCTAATGCGATGAATGCTCAAAGAGTGATATGTTACATTGATTATAAGGTTCCAATAGAACAAATTAACGAAACATTCCAATTAAAAGAACCTCATTTGTTGAGTTATTTTCATATGTTCCAAAGAATAAAAGAAAATTCTGAAGAAGTACAAATAAAATACACTCCTCAAATTGGTAATGAAAAAGCATATCAACTAGCAAGATTGACTAGCAGTCAGAAGTCGGGACAATTGCATACATTTCTTCAACAAAAATTACAAGTTTCTAGTATAGTGAATGAAGAATGTTGTTAGGTGGAGCCTCTAAGAAAGGAGTGGATGGATGATATAGTAGAATATATGAACACAGGATTATTGTCTGAAGAATACTTAGAAGCAAACAAATTGAAAATGAAGTCAACTTGGTACGTGTTGATAGTTGGAGATCTGTATCGAAGGGGAGTTTT